TCTCCATTGCCTGCTCCAAGTGATTTTACTGACTTTCTTAAAGAATCTGTGCATTTGTGAAATGCACACCAGCATACACTTGTTAGTGCACATTTGCCTCCCTAAGGAGATTCTGTGAAGGCAAGTGACATATTTTGCAAATATTTGAATTATGCCCTGCCTAAATTCACTTAGCTCCTAGCATGATGCTTTAAAATTTTTTAAATGTTCAATAGATATTTTTATATACACACAAATACAGACTGTAAGGCAAAATCCTTAGTCTCTACAAATGTAAGCCTTGTTTGGAAGATAATCCATAGAAAACATCTGTAGTACAATAATAGAAATTGCCTAAATTATCAAAACTGTGTTCACTCTCTATGTATTCTATAATCTATGTTCTACCTATACTGATACCGTATGTTTCATACACCAGTGGTTACATGACAATTGAAATAGGAGGAAACGGATAGGTAATAAGACAGTAGGTAAGCTTACCTAGAAATGACTGTGCACGTACTACATAACACAACAGAGGCAGGTAATGTTCACTAGGTACCACATCTGTTTCTAGTATAGAATGACAGCTGCCACCCCAATTTGCTTATTTTCCAATTTTAGATGAAGATCCATCAGGCGTCCCCAAAGGAAGGTGTCCCTGTGTCCCTGAGACATGAAATTTGAGGAAAAGGCTTTGGGGTAACTTCAGAACAAAGATTTGTGGAAGATTCGTCATATCAGTATCTTCTTTCTAAGTCCTAAATAATTTCAGACATTTCTACCCAACTCACTCCCTTTTATTTACCATTCGCTATGCAACGTTCTGTGATTACTGAGTATTGTTCCATTTTCCAGTAAGAGACTATTTGCAATTCAAGGCCAAAAGATGTCTTTGGTGAACTTAAAATTTTTACTTTCCTCAGCTAAAGCTGATGATTTAACATATACCACTCAAGTAGCCTTTCTCTGCCAATAGTTAACAGACTTAGATAAGGAAAACTTTCAGTAAAAATATAGTTTGTGATTCTGAACACTTATGAATGTCAGTTATTTCAACTTTATTCTACAAACCATTTTATGAGAAACATCTTTTGCCAGCAACATATTTTTCCCCTTTCCAGAGGTCTAGAGCACCGGTGATATATACTAGCAATGAAACGTAAGGCGCCTCACAAATGCGACTTGACACTTTTAGGTAGCTCATCTAAAACTGTTAGTCATGTTTCACCATTTCTTTCATTTAAGAAAACTGCACCCAGACACTTTATTTGAACTTTTTGAGTTAAAGCTATAAAAAGACATCATTACCAAGTGGTAAGTTAGTTTCCTCGTAATCAATGATTGATTACATATTCCCTAGTCATTCCACTGAAAAACCAGAAAATTACCCCAAACTCCACAAAATCCAATATTTGAAATATTATAAACCTTTTAACCAATACATATATGAGAGTACTCCAACACAAAATCAGTCTCCCCGCCAAGATGACAATATTTTCTCTTATTCTAAAATTGCTCATGATTTTTAGAAGGGTAAAGGACTTAGAGCTTTCTGCACCCAAGAAACACCTTTGGGAACGGGAAGAAAATTGTCTAATTGATTGACAGGGCACAGTTCATGATCAAACCATCGGAGATGGTTGTAGAGCTTAAAATGGCTCCAACCCAGGGGGTGGGGGGGGAAGGAAAGGAGGCAGAGTTTTAGAGGAACTAAGAATCCTTCCAGTCTTGGGAGTAGCACACTTTTACCCAAGTATCTGAGGGTGTGTTACAGTGGAGTGTGTTGCAACACAACATGTCCTTAGGTGCCTTGTAGGAGAAGGATGGGCTGGGAGTCCCAGTAGCTGTCACAACCGAGGCAATTCATGATCAATCTTTTGTTGAGCCCAGATGAGAGATCTGGATACTTTAAGCTTATCTGTTTCTATGTTTGTTTTCTTTTCTCTTAGTTTCCTAAGAAGGTTTTTTGGAAAAGCTCCTACCTTAGGAGAGCAGGAAGAATTAAAATGGCAGAGAGGTCAATGGTTGCCATGCATCCTGGGTAGGACCCACAGTCTTATGACCCAGGCAAATTGGCTGTTACAGACAAGCACCTGGCGACGCAAAGGCTGGAGGAAGCTGAAGATGTGGGTATCTCCTCTGATTAAATACTGTAATCTAGTGGTGTTAGGGGAAGCAATGCATTTCTCCTTGTGCAAAGATAGCTGGGACACACAGTTAACTGGGGACTCACAGCTCCTACGTGCAGCTTTTCACCTCAACACTCACCCTCATTCATTGAGTCATGTGACCTGAGCAGGGGTGCCTGTCGGAAGTGCTGGCAGTGTCCCGACTCCAGCTGTGACTTTCTCTCCTTTTCCTTTTTAAGATTGATTTTTGCAAGGGAATACCTTGTAGATCAGGCTGCTTGTCTTGTAAGAGTAAAGGTTGAAGCTCGAAATACCACGGTTCAAGTGTTGTGAGAAGTGCTAGTGTACAAGGAGATTGTCAGGGGTGGGGCTGGGTGACTGGGTAAGGAATCTTTGCTGGGGTTAGACTTAGCCATAGAACAACTGTAACCTTGGTACACTGTTATCTGATAGCCTTGCTACAATTTCTCAGTTCCATATCCTTTTCACTCATGCTGGGGGCCCACTGCTTACTAATCTTAGTATAACACAATGCCTGACCCATTCCTAGTTTTCGTACCTCTATCCCCTAATTTACAGGTTCACTATAGACAAAGATTTGCCTATAGCACAAACCAATGGAGTTAGGAGAAAAGGTTTATTGTTTCTCATTTTATCAGATGGTTTACCATGTACTTTGGCCCCATGGTCAAACTAGACTATTTAAAATCTTAAAATACAGTGGATTTTCCAGGTGAACTGTATCTTGGGACCTTCTTTCCACCCATCACAATTTTGGCAAAAATCAATCTTAAAAAAATGCTCAAAATGCAAGGGGAAAGAAAACAGATGCAGCCTGTCAGAGTTCCCAGCCCCAGCACGATCTTGTCCAAGTGAGCAGGCCATTTGAGGAGCAGAGTAGGGATTTTTCATTTCAATTTAAATAGTGGTTAAAATAATCACTAAAAATATTAGTGCTGCAGTAATATTTTAAGGAACTGGGTATCACAGAGCCACAGTTATGGTGCTAGGTTGCCAAGTTTGAGACTCTATCCTTTCGAGGTGGGGGGAATGGGGAAGTGCAGGAAGGATTCCTGATATTTTCCCTTCAATATTTTGTGGACAGGAAAATATTCTGGAAAAACAATCTAGAATTTCAGAATGCAGATTTTTTTAAAATCCAATTTACAATAACCAAATTAAAACCACAGACACTTAATCAAGACTTCTGTCAGAACAGTCGAGTAAAAAGTTGTAAAGTGAGAATTTAAGAGGATAAGAGCCAGCTCCTTGCTGAACTCAGACTTTTTTTAACACTTGAAAAGAGATGTTGAAATGTTTTAATATTTAACCTTGTCAAAAAGAAAGAAGCCCACACATTCATGCGAGTCCAGTGATATGACACCTGCTACGGTCTAAACATTTGTGTCCTCTACCCCCAGCTCGTATGCTGAAAACTAACACCCGATGCCCCCTCCTTCTGTTATGTGAGGCCATCTAGAAAGTGGGCTCTCACCAGACACCTCCTGGCTTCTTGATCTTGAACTTCCCAGCCTCTACAACTATGAGAAATAAATGTTTGTTGTTTATAAAATACTTACTTAGTTTATATTTTGTGATAGCAGCCCAAACAGACTAAGACAAAATAGCCCATATCCAAAGCCTGTGTTGGTCTACCTGTCTCATCTAAGGGGTTAAGTTCCACGTGCTTTAATGTAAGCCCTCACCTTACAGAGAGGCGGCTGTAATGTTGCGAGGCCACCAGTGTACTGAGAGAAAAAGTACCTTTTTGCTGCAATACCTGAGTATAGTTACATTTCTTATATTCTTTTCCTGTTACCCGCTATTGTTCTATATCCTTCCATTCCTCCTTAGGGCAGGGGTGCAAGGCTATTTTTGCAAAAACACTCAACATCATTACTTCAGTTCCTTTTTGTTATGGTCGTCTTGTAAGGAGGACCTCAGAGTGCAGGCCCACAATCCTTTTTCTAATGTGCTTGCATCAGATGTACTTAAAATTCAAACTTTTTCCAGATATCTTGTCTACAGCATATATACTACACGAACTTCCAATGGGGTCTGAGCCAGCACCTCATAATCAAATGCGTTAATATTTCTGCAGTGAAATATAGGCATTTTCACAATAAATAAAGACTGTCAATAGCCTCAAATCAGATCAGGGCAAGCTTTGCCATTAACAGAGTTTTGGTGTTAATTTTGCAAAGGAAATTTCCATTTTGGGGGCCTTTGGATTTTGAAATAGAGAGTCAGAGAATATGGATTTGTATTGGGTTTTCAAAGAGTTCAGACAAATGGATCTATTGGTGCTTAGAGAAAGAAGAGATGGGATGCATTGCAAATAGCCTAAGGGGGCCTTTCAAAGGTATCTTTAGACACAGAATTTGACTACATTAAAGAGGATTTAAGGTAAGTGGGCTGTCCTTGCTCCTGGAATCCTGTCATGTAACCTTGAAACAGTCTGTCCCCCAGAATGAGTCTGTGGCAGTACTGCTGTCATGGAGTCCGAGCCGCCTCACTGCTCTGCAGGGAAAGGGCGCAGAAGCGGGCAGCCCTGGCCACTCGGAGACTCGCAGGAACATTCCCAGACTAGAATGAAAACCTCAACAAGGCAGCAGTGCTGGAGCCAACTGGCATGCTTGCACATGACTCCACGATAAAGTAATGACACAGTTTGATTTTTTAGGGAGTATAAAAAACAACAAAAAAAAGTTTTTGTTTTTCTTAATATAGGGAAAAATTTTTTTAAGCCTAATCTTTGAAGTTTTCAAGTTGGGACTGGGAAGATCATACTCTGGGTTGTTGTGCTAGGGGTTATAGACTAGGGGAGGGGTAAACTGTCCATGAGATGAGGGGCTGTCGCCATGGAGACATATGGAGAGAAAGGCTTACTTGGCTTCCAGGGCCAGCGCGATGATGCCCGCAGCCATGGGGGCCGAGGCTGAGGTCCCAGTGTGGTTGTCGGTGCACCGCTGCCTCAGATCCGTAGTGATCTAGAAGACAGAAGGGGGAATGTTAGCGCTCTCAGGTCAGTGTGAGTCACATGCAAGTAGAAAGAAGTTTACTCATAAAAGTGGAATGGAGGGGTGTTGAAATAGTTGTTTTAAACTTCTTGTTGTGGTGCTTCTATGGCCATATCACTTCCAGAGAATTGCCTGTGTAAATCACCTTTGTAAATCAACCTTGAAAAGGGAAGGGTTTGGAAATAGAACTAGGGGCAGCCTTTGGCCTGAAACATAAGGGTTGGGCAAGTTTCTCCTTAAATTTTACACCCCACACACCTCACTTGCCTCACCCTAGTCCCAGATCTAGTTAAAGCTCAAGTTCTTTCACTACTCCAACATTTTTAAGAATCCAGACAAGTTGAACCAGCACCCAGATACTGAGTTTAGACGTTGGCAGCATAAGGAGTAAAAGCACAGTCTGGCTCCTGCTCTCCCAACTCTTCCATTGGGGTAGCCACAGGTTTTAAGCAAAAGGTGTGCTCTGCTGTAGAAGGAACATTTGTTTATGGACTTCTTAGAATTCACAGAGATGTTACATGAAAGAACCGAGGATCTCTCAAAGACCTAACATAGATACTAAAATACCACATTCAACCCAGTGCACTTGATGTGAAATTACTACGGGATAAGATTTTGCAAACCACTGTAATATCTAAAAAATTTTAAATCCCTTCTTCCTGACAAGCATCCATGTTTGCTCCCTTAGGGCTGCTATCACTCCCGCTGGGAATGCACATGGCTTGTGAGGTGAGCTGGTGGTCTCACCACAGTTTTTAGAGACACCAGTAAAGCTTTCTTCAGCATCAAGACAAATCTGTTCCCCGTGTGTGGAGGAACACTGAGGTGAAAGGTCATCAGAAAGGCGTAGGAGGATAGTGGCAGATGAAAATAAAGTCCTGTTTTACTAAGGTGCACCCTTTAAGAAGATTAGGTGATTTGGAAAGAAATTTCTTCACAGGAAGAAAGAGCTGTGTTACTTCCTTAGAAACAAATCCTCTCCTAAAAATTTCCTCAGTGTCATGTGAGGATGTCTGAGTGGACACTAATTATTTGTCATGGATCTAGATTGACATCCTGACTGATTGAACTTCACAAGAGGCTATCAGTTCTCACTGTCTTTCCTTTCTTCCTTTGATACCTCTACTGTTACCATATTATTCATACCAGATAGAGACTAATATGCAAGTGGGAATATAAACACAAATGTACAGAACCATGTAAATATGGTGATGGGACAAGGGAGACAAGCCTTGAACTCTTGTCCTAAATAACTGAGTGGTGTGCTGGAGCCCTGGCAGTGTGTCTGGAAGGCAGGGAAGGTTGTTTCTTGGCTCACAGACTTTACTGACATCTTCTGAACCTCAGCATTGGGATGCTTACACCTGTCCGGGTGAACACAGCCCTACCCACTCCTGCATTCAACAACTTTCTGTATTTTAATTGTTGACTTTGTAAAGGCATTTATTTTAAAAATTGTGGTAAAAATCATATCACACAAAGTTACCTTTTTAACAACTTTTAAGTGTACAACACAGTGTTATTAACTGTATGCACGTTGCTGTACAACAGACGCCTAGAACTTTTCAGCTTGCGTGACTGAAACTCAACCCACTGAGCGACTCCCCCGTCTCCCCTCCCCCAAAGCCTGGCAACACCCATCCTACTTTCTGCTTCTATGAGTTTGACTACTCTAGACACCTTTATAGGTGGAATTATATAGCAGTTGCCTTTTTTGGTGACTGGCTTATTTCACTTAAAATTATGTCCTCAAGGTTCATCCATGTTGTAGGATTTCCTTCTTTTTAGGCTGCATAGTATTCCATTGCCTGTATATACCACATTTTCTTTATTAATTCATCTGTCAACGAGACATAGAACCAAAATTAACCAGACATTCAGGTTATTTCTACCTCTTGGCTATTGTGAATAGTACTACAGTGAATGAGGGTGTGCAAATATCTGTTCAAGATTCTGTTTTCAATTCCTTTGGATATATACCCAGAGGTGGGACTGCTGGATCATTAAAAAGGCATTTCTATTTCATTTGAAATCATGGGTAGATTTGCAGCCTTATTTTCCAAAGGCCTGATCCCTGAACAATGCATAAACAGCCCAGAAGCAGCCTGTTTCCATGTTTTCAGATACGCTGTTGTTGAGAGATGGCCTTGCTGCATTCTTCCCATTTTACCTCACCCTCATGGTCACATTCCTTTGCCAAGTTTTATTTTTTCAATGACTTGTGCCTGGATTCAAGATTTTTCATGATGTTTTCCCACTTGGCTCACTTTGCGTATTCTTCAGCTACACCAGACACTTTCAATGCACGGAAACAAATCCAGAATAAACACTCCAAGTGTGTATAGAATTTTTGAATCTAATAAATAACCATCTCCTGGCAACCTCAAATATGAACAATAAAAGTTTTAGGATGTCAGGTTTGCCATTGGAATTTACACCATTTATATATAGACAGCAGGTACAGACACCTATATATTATACATGTAATAATAGACTTAAACAAAGCTACTCAGTGCCTTTATATATAAACACCAATTTAGTGGTAAATGCTATTGATATAGGCAAGCCTGCAGAATTTTAAATCGGCATTGTGCTTTCATTTTTTTCCCAAGCACTTTAACGGCAGGAAACTTGAGGAGTGAGCAGGGGTTGGAAAGGGAGTGAAACAGGAAGGTGATGGAGAGGGGGAAGGTTGAAAGGAGCAGAGAGAAAAGAAATAAAAACATCCTCACTCCCTTCTCATCCTGCCTTAAGTGGAAATTCCAGCTGGGTCATTTCAAGAGGAAGTTACTGTCAGTGGTAAAGATATTTAGGTGTAAATTACCAGAAAGATCTAGGGCAGGGTTTTCATCATTAAGAGGAGCCACAGTATCAGAGAATTTTTATGTCTATCTTTAGAAAGAAAAGGCAAAGACCACCAAGGAGCATGCAATCTTCAAGAAAAATGATGTTCCGAAAACTGGAACCACATGGGGTAACCCCATTAATCATAACTCATGCATACGAGATCTGACACTGTAATTTAAAGAAAAGTTGTACTTGGTCCACATCACGGGGCAGGGAGTCCAGGGATTCTGTACGTGAAACGGGAACAATAAAGCACTTTCAGTTTAGATTCCACTTTAAAGAATGTCTCAGAATCTGGTTTCAAGCCCGGTGGCGCATCTTGCACGCTCCAAATTCCCTCAATTCACTACCCAAATCAGAAACAGAATTTTCCTCCTCAGAACTTATCAGATTGCTCAAGAAAATATCATTTCTGTCCATCAGACTGAAGAAAACAGGAGGTGACACCAGGCCCCCAAGTCAGATCAAAGCTGTCCTGATCAGCAAATTAGATTTTCAGTCTGTCCCAGGAGTAGCAGCAGATGGGTTTTTGGACTCCACAAAGTCAGGGATGTCAACTTCATATAGGGAGAAGGGGCGGGTATTGTTCAGGTCCAGTCGGCTGCCTCTGAGAACCACCACTTTTTCTCATCCTAGGCTCTTACTTCCTAATATTTCATATTTCATTACTTGAGCTGATTGAATTTTTTATTCTAGCCTGTTGACGTAATTCTCCGGGGAATCTCAGTTCAGATTGACTTTGGCCGTAAGTGACAAGCCTTTACAGCAACCTCCCAGTGAAGAGTTTCTAGCTCCCTGATATCTTGTGATCTGTTTTATTTTGAAGGTGCCATATTGTCTCATACCTGTTAAAAGAGCAACTGAACAGATAGTTTTAAAACATGAAATGATTTTACTGTCTGTTAGGTTGAATTTGTTTCTGGTGTTGGTTTTCATTTGGATTAGAAATGTGACCAAAAAGCTGTTTCAGACACAGCTATGAGCGATAAGGAGAGAAATGGAATCTTAAATGTGTCAATGAATAAAACACAAGAAGCTGATTTATTAAAGCACAGCAAAATAAAAAGGAACTGAGGACCAATTAATGCTTTCTGTGCTCGCGGAAGTCACAAAGACTGGTGTAAAATTCAATCATTACCGACAGGCCCGCACAACATGCCACTCGTGTGTTGCTATGAGAATCTGTAAATGCAACGTGCAAGAGTAAGGCTTTGCTTACAAATGTGAGATGACTATCACTAAAGAAGGGTGCTACCTTATATCACTTTTGCATCTCCGCTATGTCCGCCCAGTGCTGGGCACAAAGCAGAGGCATGGTAATTGCTAAGTTGAATTGCTAAAGTCAAGCTCTGTACTTATTTCCTCTACACTTTAAACTCTCCCACTTCTCAGGAAAGATTTCAAGGTCAGTCCTTTACTGACTTTCCGAACAGAACTCACACAAACTTAGAAGCAACGCACAAAAACCATGCGAGTATATGTATGTATACAACCCAGGGGCCAAATCAAGTAGGCCAACCCCTCCCACAGCTGCTATTGCTCTCACTCGCTGTACTGCTTCTAAAGCTACCTCCACGAGCAACTTGCAAAGAGGAAGGCCATGTGCAATAGGTGTGTATTTGTGAGTGCTTGTGTGTGTATATCAAATTACATCTAATCCCACAAAAATGCTCCAAGAAAGACATACTATTTATTAACTTAGGAAATGGAGGCTTGGAGAGGAGAACTTGCCCGAGAAGGCACAGCTACTGGGGAGATGGTAAGTGGTGAAGTATTAAATCCTGAAATGACAGGGGGGAAAAAGCGGACTAAAGAGTGTGCTCATCTGTGAGAGCAAGGGTGACAGTTCCAGACCACCATCAGCAACGACGGTGGAGGCTGGGACCCAGCCCAAGTCAACAAGCAGGTACAGTGATTCTCCTCCCTGCTACAGTCAAAACCAGAACTTTTCAGGAACTTCTTCCTCCCTCTCTCTCTCCCTCTTTTTCTCTTTAAATATCTCAAGAGAATATGTATCAAACTTCCAAAGATACTAAACACAGCTGGATTCACTAGTCTTTTACTCATGAAAAGTATGACATTTCTTGAATCAAAAGGAGAAACAGAGAGATGATAGAGTACTG